ACACACCCCGAAAACTTTGCTACATCGTGTGATATGATGCTCCAACGGTTTTTGACGGCTTGTAGAGATCGAGCTTCACCGTCGAATACTGCTGCCGTGTGCCGGCACACATCCTCCCAGAATGCAGCAGCTTTTTGGTCCGTTCCTTGTATTGGGTTCTCCGCAGAAATCTTGTACGCGCGAGCCAGAGCTTCGTCCTCCTGAGCACACCACTTCCGACCTCTCCCCATGGCGCCTGCGATCTTTCGGTTGAGTGAGTTTCTATTCGTGCACCAGAGTTGCTATTGGGGGTCCGAATAGCAACTCGAATCAGAATTTCTATTTTCAAATAGCAATAGCAACTCCGAGTGGAGATAGCAGAATATATTCTTTCTGATTCCGTCGCTATTTTAGCAATAGCAACTCCGATAGCAACTCGAGTGGAGATAGCCTAAGCCATTGTTTTCTAAGAGTTGTTAGGCAGCAATCTCCGATACTACTTAGCTGGCGGACGGGTCGCCGACACGGGCGTAGGATACGATTTTAAATGGAGCGGCAACACAACAACTTAACACGAGAGGTGTTAATTATAGTTGGCTAAGTAGACACCATAAAGAAACGTTAATAAACGTGGAGCCTAAATGACGTTTAACCATTTTGAAATTATCGTTAAACTATCAAATTGAAAGCACTACTGTACCGTCAACAACAACAACAGCAAGGCGTCCTGCGACACATTATCCAAATGCTTTAATCATAACTGGTAGTCAATTGACTAATTCTGAATCGCCCAAAATGAACGCTGCATCCATAAAAAATATTACAATTTGAATATTTTCTAGCTTTCATTGAGTTTTGTGTGTGAAGCAAGCTCAAGTAGGCAGTACAAGCGGATAAATAGTGCAAGCTGGATTACTTTCATGTGAGCTAAGTTTCATAGCGGCTCAGAAATGGTCCGTGTTTCGAGCACGACGTTAAACTAAACATATTGTGTAGCGTTTGTATAAATGTTATTTGAGGTGCAGGTGGAAGATGAAGATACAGTGATAGCCAGCAATAAAAAAGAGATTGTATCAAGAATCTTGATTCAAGAGCATAAGAATATTTATTTCTTAAATCCGGTAAGCATCATGCTGACCCAAATTAATGACATTAAAAAGACATATGCTCAGCGTTTTTTCAATAGTTATCGCGCCGAAGCGTAGCGGAGGCGGGAAGGCCAAGGCAAGTAGAACTAAACCTAAATTACCGCCGCGTAGCGGCGGCGCTCGGCTAGTGCATAACTAAGGTAATTCGGTAATCATTTCGAGCAAGATCTCATGGAAATTCCATGGCGAGGCGACTTTAATTGGCAACATCTGACACGGCTCTAATTGCGGGAACTGCGAACACGATTTGTTCAGCCTCACGTCTAATCAAAGAGGAATCCTCCGCGTTTGAAGCCGACACAACAGTACATGTACCGTATTTGAGATCTCCTACTTCAGAGTGATCTCCTTATTCAGACTGCCCTCCAGCCAATCACATATCGAGAATGGAACAGCGCACAAGTCTAGATCAGAGTACAAAAAACATGCTAAACTGTAACTATCCACCAGCTCTATGGCCAATGGCAGCGCTATATTCAAAACAGATTGGGTGGTTGAAACAACTACGCGCTTCAACTTCGACGCTTCCGTTTAAGATAAAAGCACCTACACGGCAGCAATTAATAGGTTGGACGAAGAATTCGTGGAATGCGTTGTCTCGCAAAACGGTTAGAAGCGGATTTGAGAAAGCAAAAATGCTATCCATTGAGCCTACTGAAAACTTAGAGGCTGGAACGGAGCTTTCCGACAGTGAACCTGATTGGGAGCTGCTACGAGGGTTGCTGGAAGAAGTGCCCGTAGTGCGCCATGCTGTGGATACGCGTCACGACATAGAAAACTTCGTAGTTCCCGAAGAAGAACTTGATAACTAAATTGTTTTGTTTAAATAATACGTGATAGAGATGCGTCGGTACGTGTACAGATCTTGTGTATTTTGCAACAATACAACTTCAAAAATATTGGGTCTGAAGTAGGAGATCTCAAATACGGTAGCAGCAAGGACATCATTGCTGCAGATCGAACTGCTAAACTGACCACCTATTGACCCGCCAAAAGCACCCACAGATCCACCGAAGCCGTGGAGCCGCCGAAATTGCCAGCGCCACCGCCAATAACAGAGTCGCTCGAGATAACGCCACCGTCTGCCGTCAGCGTCACAGCCTCCTCCACTTCCTGGGCAGCCGTCATGTCGACTAGCGAGATCCACACGAACAGACCGTCTGCCACCGAGTCTCCCAGCAGAGCGTACTCCATGACCGGGTCGTATCCATCGGCGGCGGCTGCCTGCAGCCACATGTCGTCCGTATTGAGAGTGAACTCGTGGGTATTAGTCACATACGTGTCCTGCTCGTGCACCGATGTGATGAGGTCTTGGTCGAATAAGAACTGTCCGACGTGTGCGACCGATCCACCGGAGTATGTGCCATTCGAGAGCACTGTGCCATTGTAGTTGCCGATAAAGTGCAGGTGCGTGGCGCGCTCGACATAGTGACCCGGGAAGATGAAGATCATTTGGGCGACGCCGTCCTCATCCGTGGGGGTGACGCCGCGCAGGAATGTATTGTCGAGGTTGGTGGCGTCGCTGCTGTCTCCGTTGCCATCGGCAATCACACCCGAGTACACACCCGTGGCGTTGGCGTGCCAGAAATCGACGTACATGTCCGTGACAGGTTGACAGGAGCTGACATCGATCACCTGAACGTCGATGTACATGTCGACACCGGGTTGATTTTCGCGCATATCGGATCGAATGTACTCACCCAAGGACGCATGCCACCTCGTCACCAAACAGCACGCTGGACGACGTGTCAGCCGTGACACCCGTGAGCTTCGACTTGTGGTTTGTGGTGACCAGTGTCGACGTCAACACGGCGCTGGCGGCGTTCACGACGAAGATTGTCAACGGCCTCGGCACGACGGTCCACGGCACGCTGCTGGAGTTTGCGCATGGGCTCGGTATTGGCGCAATCTCCGAGAGCATGCTTGGCGTTGGCGACGAAGAGGTTCCGCTGGTCGTTGGAGAGTGCTCGTCGCGTGGCCATTTGATGGCCATTTGCTAAAGCGGAGTCGGTGATGGCAGCCGCGGTGTTGGTGACGGCGACGAGGACGGAGAGAGGCTTGACCGTGGCTGGTTCAAATGAGGAGAAGTAGTTGTCTGAAGCTGATAAAAATGGAGAAGTGGGTAATATTGTGATGCTGGAATTGGTGAAGTTGTCAGAGGTGGTAAAGTGGATCTCCGGAATTTCAGTGGTGCGCGTCGGTCATCAACAGAAGCAGCTAAGATGGCTCTCGCACTAATGGCGTACTGCATGTCACGTACGCCGAAGCACGTGCATACTTCGTGCTTGTGCTGTCCTATCTTGCAAATAGACATTTAAACCATGATATTCTGTACTATTGAGATAAACTACAGTACAGTATTCAATGAATACTATTCATCGTGCAGGTGATCACCGCATACTTACGAGATCGGCGAGGTTATCCCTTCTGCAAACGACATGTACTATACATCCTATTTCAAGCATGCAATCTCTCAGTATGATGTTCATAAATCCTCCCTTCCGCTTCTGGCCATGGTCTTAGCGCGCTGACGTTTATCTTTGTGATAACTCTCTTAGTCTTAGTCTCACTGGTTTTTAACTAGCGAAGGCTTTTCCCAATCATGCCAAGTAGCTCTTCGCTAGCCTCCTGAGTATCTCACACGCATTCAGATTATTAATGCGAGGTCAGCGTGATGCTAGCCATTGCAGTTGCAGGTGCGTGAGACTCATGTCCAGCGTCAGATGGGAAGGTCCGTCACTCAGTGGCACTGAGTGACGAGTCACTGACTCAGTCAGTGCAGGCTGCAGACTGCAGTGCAGGCTGCAGACTGCAGTGCAGTGGCGCAGAAGGCAACTAGTCTTCAAGTGGCACACGCCACTACATGTAGATTGGTTAAGCACTGCGCAATGGTAGAATCCAGCGTAAAACAAGAAAGCGTGTACTCCAAATTCTAGATACGATTCCGGACACTCCGGAATCTAGAGGTGGTGCCGTGGGTATTATTGTGGTATTAAATTTAGTAAAAGCATACGTGAACTTGTCGAAGCGGTCTAACAGATGATCATAAAGCTACGTCTGCTCCAGGAAACTAACTATTTCACTATCTCAGTCCTTAACCACACTTGAGCCATCATAAAGGTATTGCTACCCGCATAGACAACACGGCCAACGAATTCACACTGCCAGTTTCCAATCAGCCACCAAATACACAAACCAACCACGGTCAAGCCTCTCTCCGTCCTCGTCGCCGTCACCATCACCGCGGCTGCCATCACCGACTCCGCTTTAGCAAATGGCCATCAAATGGCCACGCGACGAGCACTCTCCAACGACCAGCGGAACCTCTTCGTCGCGAACGCCAAGCATGCTCTCGGAGATTGCGCCAATACCGAGCCCATGCGCAAACTCCAGCAGCGTGCCGTGGACCGTCGTGCCGAGGCCGTTGACAATCTTCGTCGTGAACGCCGCCAGCGCCGTGTTGACGTCGACACTGGTCACCACAAACCACAAGTCGAAGCTCACGGGTGTCACGGCTGACACGTCGTCCAGCGTGCTGTTTGGTGACGAGGTGGCATGCGTCCTTGAGCCGGATGTCACCTACGGACCGTATTACGTCCTGGGTGAGTACATTCGATCCGATATGCGCGAAAATCAACCCGGTGTCGACATGTACATCGACGTTCAGGTGATCGATGTCAGCTCCTGTCAGCCTGTCTCGGACATGTACGTCGATTTCTGGCACGCCAACGCCACGGGTGTGTACTCGGGTGTGATTGCCGATGGCAACGGAGACAGCAGCGACGCCACCAACCTCGACAATACGTTCCTGCGCGATGTCACCCCCACGGATGAGGACGGCGTCGCCCAAATGATCTCCATCTTCCCGGATCACTATGTCGAGCGCGCCACGCACCTGCACTTTATCGGCAACTACAATGGCACAGTGCTCTCGAATGGCACATACTCCGGTGGATCGGTCGCACACGTCGGACAGTTCTTATTCGACCAAGACCTCATCACATCGGTGAACGAGTAGGACACGTATGTGACTAATACCCACGAGTTCACTCTCAATGCGGACGACATGTGGCTGCAGGCGGCCGCCGCCGATGGATACGACCCGGTCATGGAGTACGCTCTGCTGGGAGACTCGGTGGCGGACGGTCTGTTCGTGTGGATCTCGCTAGTCGACATGACGGCTGCCCAGGAAGTGGAGGAGGCTGCGACGCTGACGGCAGACGGTGGCGTTATCTCGAACGACTCTGTTATTGGCGGCGGCGCTGGCGATTTCGGTGCCTCCATGGGCGGCTTCGGTGGGTCTGTGGGAAGCGGCAACTTCGCCGGATCAGCTGGCAACGCTGACGGGCAGCCCTCTAAGTAAGTCTGAATGGTGTACGGCTCTTCAAAGTTTATCTTGTTACGTTTTGAGGTTAGGAAGGAGCACATCAATGAATTCATCGGAGGTGTACTCACCTGTTTGCAACGACTATTGCTGTACGCATGGCATGTTGATACCACTCCACAAGTTAGCAAACTCCATGCGGCAGTTTCTCCTCCATAATTCCTGCTAAAAGGTTAGCAACAGCGATATCCGCCATGGCTTGCCGAGTCTTGATCGTGGCTGAGCCGATATGAGGCATCACAACGCAGTTCTCAAGCGAAAACAACGGATGTGTAGGAGACAGCGGTTCAGGGGCCGTCACATCTAAACCAGCAGCTGCGATCGCCTTGTTTCGGAGTGCTTCCACGAGTGCATCTTGATCCACTAGCTCACCTCTGCCAGTGTTGATCAAAACCGCGCTTGGTTTCATGAGGTCGAGCTCTTTAGCGCCGATACTGCCGCGAGTCGCCTCAGTCAGTGGCTGGTGGAGACTCACGATATCACTTTTACGCAGCAGCGTCTCCATGTCCACGTACTCGACTGAACCTGGTTCGCCCCCGAGAGTCTGGGCATTTTCAGGTTTTTCGCGAGGTCCTGTGTAGAGGATCTTGCAGTTGAATCCGTTCTGAAGCATACGGGCGTACGTTGTACCAATCCGCCCAAGACCGACGACGCCAACTGTACTACCGGTGACGTCGGAGCCACAGTACTGGAAAGGCTGCCAGACGCCCCACTCGCCGTTCTTGGCGCTTGCCGCGCACTCGAGCAGTCGTCGCTTGGTTGCAAATGTCAGCGCTACGGCTGTCTCAGCGGTGGACACATCCAGAATCCCCGGGGTGTACCCCACCTTCACATTTCGAGCTTTGCAGGCCTCCACATCGATGTGGTTGTGGCCGACTGACATGGTGGACACAACGCGTAGTGAGGGACCCGCGGCATCCAAAGCTTCAGCGTCCACCTTGTCCGTTAGCAGACAGAGCAGCCCTGTGCATCCCTTCACGCATTTGAGCAGCTCCTCACGTGGAATGCAGCTCTTCTCGGAGGAGAAAGACTCCACTGAGACCGCGTGGGCTCCGGCTTTCGCAAGTCGCTGACGGAATTGCTCTGGGACGACGCAACGCGAGATGTTTAGTATCATAGAGAGTGGCGGGTGGTACAAATTAACTGGATTCTCAACGGCTTTACCGTACCAATGGCATACGGCACATTCCGAGAGAAAAAGACCTTCCGGGGCGAAGCGGAGCTCATGTCGAAGGAGAGGATCAGCTTTAAATACAAACTTTGAGTGTTGAAAGTGAGGCTCAAAATAACGATGCTGAATTATTGGTAGAAAAAGAAGATTTGAGGATCTCAAGCATCTCAGTTGCTCATTGCAGTCATATTTGCAGCGTCCATGAGTCCTCCGATTGCCCCCCGCAAGATTTTCTTCACGCGTAACTGGCCATACGCAATTGGTGAGGAATATTCATTGGGGGCTGATGAAAAGAGTAGTTTGACTGGTTCTGATGTCAAGTGCAGATTTACTACGCCAGCGAATTGGAGGTTCTACTACCACATCGACGTGGAGGCCTGCAAGGCTTGTAGCATCCGTGTCGGGCATACCCCCGGAGTGCTTGATATGGCTGTAGCAGAGATTGCCGTGGCCCTGACCTTCGCCGCCAAACGACGGGTACTCGAATGTGCGGCAAGCGCTAAGAACGGTGAGTGGGGCGTCTGGTAGCCATTTCAGTACTGCGGCACCGACATCACTGGTAGTACTGTCGGTGTCGTTGGTCTAGGACGCATCGGTGCCACGTACGCGCGTATGTTGAGAAATGGTTTCAACTGTAAGATCCTCTACACGGGGACCTCGTGAGAAGCCCGGCGAGGCCAAATCGCTTGGTGGTGAGCCTGGTTCGATTGGTATGTAGACATGGAGAGACTGCTGCGCGAAAGCGACATTGTCACTCTCCACCAACCACTGACTGAGGCGACTCGCGGCAGCATCGGCGCTAAAGAGCTAGCTATCATGAAACCAAGCGCAGTTTTGATCAACACTGGCAGGTGGACCAAGATGCTCTCGTGGAAGCTCTCAAGAGCAAGACGATCGCAGCGGCCGGCTTGGACGCGACGACCCCAGAGCCGCTTCCTCCCTCACATCCGCTGTTCTCGCTTGATAACTGCATCGTACTTCCCCACGTAGGGTCATCTTCAACGAAGACCCGCCAGGTGATGGCGAAAATCGCCATAGACAACGAATGGGGGGCAGGGGTTCCGAAAAGGTTATTTTTATTAAATATAATTGTTTTTTGCAGTAAAATAATTTATTTTCGAGCTCCCATTTCAAAATCAAATAATTTATTCCGCGCTCTCTCCAGGCAATAACGTGAGGCTTCCACCAACTAGACGAGTATCAGCCCACTGTACATTGCATGCAATAGCACCAATTATTTTTGCACCCGTGGTGCTCCAAGCACTTAAAGTTATTTTATTGCTGTTTTGCCAGTCTCAATAAAAATAACATTTTCGGAACCGGGCGAAGACCTTCCGGCGG